TATTTGCCAACTACTATTCTAAATTTTATTTCATTTTCCATGGCCTCGAATGTTTACCAAACCTGATATTATACTGTATCGTAATGATGACTGACAAAGAATTCTACCACTCTCATGCATAACGTTATCGAGCATTTTGCATAAAAAGTTGTCATCTCAATCTTACGCAACTAAGAAAATAGCACGTTTTACAGATTTTTCATAATTATCTCATGGGAACCGGTCGCTCCTCCGTGAATATCAGACAAAAAAGTGACAGGGGCTTCTGTTTTTTTCACAAGGCTTCCTTTACGGCGTCTAACTGTCTTCTTCAACCGGCTTACGCATCTGAGACTTAGGTAATTGTAAAATGTGGTGAAAACAAGTCGCTCGGTTTCAAATCTCAAGATCCGCGGTATTGTCTTCCTTCGGCAATATCTATTCATTGGTTGAAAGTGGTTGGAGGGAAAGGACTCTGGTGCCATGGTGGCTTTGCTTCTTACCCATGCTTTTTCGCAGAGCAGGCCTGAAGAACTTCTAAAAGTTCAGTGCATGGGCAGTTAACTAGTTCTTGCCAAAGTGCATTGGCCGGCGTCAAGATCTGCATGGACGAAATCCTAAAATCTCTGTACCCAATTTTCCATTTATGCAAATAACTTGCATGATTTATTGACAAACTTTTCCGGCTTTGGCCGAAGTCTGATAAGTTTTCGTTTTAAGAAATAAAAACTTTAAAGCCATGGACATACCGTCGATTAATTACTTCGATCTGACTGACTTTTGCTTTTCTGTCCTACGTGGACTGAATATAGCTCTTTCGAAATGTTGGAACCTTTAAATGTACCCCTGGTGTACAATGTGAGACTGGTCTAGGTTAACTGGCGTGCGACTTAAAAGTAACCTGTATCGTATACGATTTCACGCAAATTTCTGCACCACCCATGTACACAAATGAGGCTCTGATATCCCGACTGAAGTGATAATACATGGCTACTGACAAGGCTTAAGTACACCAACAAATTAACTTTAGAAATCGTGGCCATCTAGGATAAGATCACTATCTGTAGTTCAGCTGTAGGGACACATAGGGTGGTCGCTTTGAAATTCTTAAAGGAATGTGGGGAATCTTTACTTAATGGAGCTTAGCTCGGGCGAATAAATTTCTTTGGCAGAAGAACCCAGTGGAGTAAGGATACAGAAATCGACCGATTAATCTACGTGACCAAGTATCGGCTTTTGCTCCGAAGGTATGTGCCCAACTGGATAAGGCACTGCCAGGCCAGAGTGTGCACTACGGATTTTCCTTGGTCCTAGAAAACCGCAATTTTATCTCTTTTGCTGTTTTGTTTGGCGTAAAAATTTAGACGACGAACGACTACGCCTCTTTAACTGTAAGTGTCTATTACAACCTGCATAAGGACCGGCGCACACTCTGCTTTTGTTATCGGCTAAGGCACCTCAAGGAAATTTTGGCCCCTCTAACGTCCCCCACGTACAAACTGTGGCAATCGCGCTTCTAAGCGCAGGGGCAGAATTTTCTAGTTCTAATTATCACCATACCACGTTGAACGCCGCAATGTACACTGCTAGGTTGCTTACTTAGTCAACTGTCTGTCTGATAGTCGTGAACAGGCGAGTTCCAGGAATTATTTTAGAAGGAGAAGATGTGATCACTGAACCAAGAAGTTTAATGGCCTGACGTTTCAGATTATCGCTCAAATCCATCATCAGAGACAATCGCAGAATTCGTGGTCAGTCTGCACATCAACAATGTAATCGTGTAGTCTGCTAACGCGTTACGAACTGTTATAGCCGTGCCGAGTTCCTGAAAGGGATAAGATCCAGTGCTCCCTGCTACAGGTGCTTTCCAATGAAAGTAAAGAGGGGAATTTTGGATATTTTTTATCTGGCATAAACGATATCAAGGCCGCAAGCTTTATAAGAGTTTACTTGCGATGGATAACAGTCCGTGGATTTAGGAGGCAGTAAATAAAATATCAGTTAGAAGTGTCAAGATCATGTAGCCGAATTGAATTAGAATCTTATTCTTAATTTGAAGATTATTAAGGCTGATATTAAGATACTGGGTAAATTACAGTAAACTGAAAGGCAGGAATCCCAGGATATGTAATTTCAAGGAAAGGCGTCCTTTGGGAAAATGAGTAAATTTATTCAGTAAGTTTTCTACACGATGTGACGCAAATTGCAGCTTTCAATTAACGCCCACACCAGATGACTATATAACTGAATCAGCCCTTTGAAATGTTAACTGTTCTCTGCACATTTCTCTCAAGTCTCAGGACGACCTGAGGATTCAGTGTCGAACATTTACTGAATAAATTTACTCATTTTCCCAAAGGATGCCTTTCCTTGAAACTAGCATA